CATAATTAGCTATTTCAGTGACTTTAAGTGAGTTTTAATTAGTGAAAGCTCCTTAATGAAAGAGTCCTTATTAGTATTGTTATTATTAGTAGTAGTATTATTATCATTATTATTATTTATTATTATTATCATTAATGTATGATAGTTTGTAGGGCTGTAGTTTGTAGTGTTGTATTGGATTTTAATGTGATTCCATGGATAGAATTGTTTGGAAATATCCACAGAGCTGATATGGATATACACTAAATAAAGATGCTTATATAGAGACTTTGAGCAGCAGCCACTTGGTACTCCTACTAGTGCTGAACTGAATGACACTTATTCTTGGTGCCAAGTTAAAAAGACTTAACCCTGATGCTAAATAGCTACAGCAAACACCGAGAGGACATAGCCAAAGTCATTTCAATTCTGTGCTAATCCTATCAAGTGAAATAAGAATTCTGATAAATTTGGACTCGTCTATCTTTCATCAATTCCATTTTGCTGAACACAACAAAGGCAAAAATGTGACTGGCAGCACTTGCTGTCAATGATCGGATTATATATCATATATATATATATTATATATATACATATATTTATTATTCTATCAATAAACTGCCCACCGTTAGTGGTCAACCTAAAACACAACTCATTCAATTCATTTTCCTCCTCTTGTGTTTTCTCTGCAAGCTTTACTCAGAAAAGTGTGGTAAGTTCAACAGGATCACTGGACTTGTGTTACAGCCCTGAGCAGAGGGTAAGTGCTACTGTCTGAATTGAGTACTGTCCACATCGTGGTCAACACTGTCACCTAGTGGACAAATGAGTTTAAACAGAGAACAGGGCCAAACCAAGTGCAGGTGAGACACTTCAAAACATTCATTCTATGTACTCCACATTAGCATATTTGATTGTTAGTTTCTGTTGTGTTTTATATGTTTCACTGTACTCGATCAAGATAACTCCATTTATCCACTACATTTAAAATACATCTATTTGTTGTAGTTCCATTTTATTTGTTATTGTCTTTCACCTATTGCACTGGGTCTTTTTATATCAGTTTTCATCACATTGATTTTATTATTGATTTTTTAGCATTTTAATTTCTCTGGTGCATTAGTCTCAAATTGCCTTACTGTTTACATTTCTTATTATCAGATAGTTGGACATCTATGAAGCACTTTGACTTGCACAAGCCTGTATGAAACATGCTATAACGAATGTAATATATCTCAAGGAATGCCTTTGACTACTAAATATATTACTAAATACTTTAGCATTCAATTATTTACTAAAATACAATGGATGTATATTCATCTGATTTCTTTATTAAAAAGACAGTATAGTGAATTCTCTTCTACGTAGCTGCTCGGACCGATAACTTCACTGCACAGAAATACAACAGCTACATTTCATCATTTCTTCAATGTTTTTAGGCACTTGGTTGGGCAGTGGACATGTCCTTACAGGTCCAGGGTCAGCAAATGATTTGACTAGAGTTTGACTTTTGAACCCAGTAAATAAGTCACACAATCAATTGTTAGGACGGCAATTGTCCATCAATTGTAAATCATGATGATCCTTGATGTAGGAAATACAAAAGTTCTGTTCAACTGTTAGTAAAGTTAGTGAGAAGAATATGCTCCACCAGTTCATAAACAGGCCTATTTTAGCAAATGTTATTGATGGAAACACAATGTAAACAAATTCAATTGTATAGTTGTTGCTGCTGTTGCTCTCTCTCTCTCTCTCTCAGCTCTGATTGTTTTTTGTCGTTTGAGCCCGGTGGAATTAAAGGAGCCTGATTTTTTTTCACATTATGTGCTCATGTACTACTCAGGAAAGTAAATCAATCAAATCAATTCAATTCAATTTTATTTATATAGTGCCAAATCTTGACATAAGTTATCTCAGGACACCCCATGCAGGACTAGACCATATTACTTATAAAATTACTTACAGACCCAACAATTCCCACAACGAGCAAGCAGTTGGCATCAGTAGCAAGGAAAAACTGGCATATTAATTTATATATTGAGTCATTTATTTATTTTATTTTATTTTATTCTATTTTGGCAGTTGGGGTCTTACAATAAACTTACTGTACTGTAGCAGACTGTATTTCATTTAAACATGAAAACTAATTCTTAAAACATTAACTTTGACTATAATTAGTCTAAATGTTAAAAAAGAAATGCTTTGCTTGTCTTTGGTGTTGTCTGTCAGTCTTCAGTACTATACAACCTATAGCTGTAGCAGAATATTGCTCTATAGTGACTCAGCTGAAGAGATTTTAATCTGAATGAAGTGTGAGTGAAGCACACATATCCACCTGAGTGGATCATTGTAAAGAAAACCTACAGCACAAAAGGTCCAGGTAGGAAATGTATGAGGTTGTAGTTTTGCAGGGGCACTGAGGTGTATTGACTTACAGATACGCTCCAGATCTGCATCCCATCAGTGTAGCCAATCATGAGGCAGAGAGGAGGTTCAGTCGTACCGCTGTGCATCTCCATGAACTCTGGGTTGCGGGCAGTGTCTGTGCGAACACAAAGCGAGACATTGAGTCAAGTTTAATAGGAGGATGTGTTAAATCATCCAACGCTATGACAAACAAACCACAAATTAATCACATCTGGTGCTTTGTCATGTTAAATGTTTTATATAAGCTTTGTTCATTATCACATCACTTTAGTTGATTTATTCTGCTCTGTTTGATCCATTTGCCTTACAAACATCTTCTTTATATTCCTTCTCATCTCATTGCAGTTATTTTTGTTGGTTTGTTTGTCGGGTGTTCTGCATTTCCTTTTTAGCTTGAGAGGTTTGTGTCACAGCTCCAGATCATAATCTTATTCCACATTCACCACCACATTCATTTGTTCTGTGTATTGCTTCCTTATACATAAACATTAAAAGGGGGGGTTTCGAGGGTACAGCTTAAAGTCAAATGGGGGTTAACTGTTAACAGCCGTAAACTGTCATCTGCAGTTGCCTCTATGCTACCAATGAAGCACAAGCCTGTTTCTCTATACTGTAAGTGCAACTTATCAAAAAGGTGCAGTTCAACGCACCTACAATGCTGTCTTAGTGTTACTACACGATGACAACAATTGGTTTGACATGAATTCAGTAAGAGATTCTAAACATTTGAAATAAAGTGTTTAAGTGTTGTTCTTAATAAATGATACACTAATGGTGCAACACTGCATTGTACCTCTTTATATTGGCATTTCTTTTCTACGGGGTAGCTGACAAAATAGTTCAAAGGGGGTGGCTTGGAACCACTGGCTTAAAGGACCAGTGTGTTAGGATTGTTTTTTCAACAGTTTCAGACGGAAACCAGTCAGTGTTAACTAATGAGTCCATTGTAATTAGAACTCTCTCTTTTTCAATACTCAAATAAACCAAACTAACATTGTCTGACAGTTTAAGACTCACCGTTGATGTCAGCTTTCTCAAATCGAACCCAAATGATTTTCTCTTTTTCATCTGTGGGAGGAGCCCCGGTGTACGCCTGCAGTTTGAAAGACAAAAAAGTGAGTGGGAAAAATATAGACAAAAACACCAGCCAGAATACCTAACACAAGTGTATGTACCAGAATCTATTAACCTTGTGTAGTGTTTTTGTAGCAGAAATAAAACTCTTGCACATAGCCAAAGTGTTTTTGGATGAAGGATCAGGTATGCAGGAGTTCCCATAACAATTTATTGCTGTGTCCCAATTCCATACTACATACTAACTGCATAAAGTATGTCCTATGTATTCATTCATATAGGAGAGCTAGTTAGACAGTTAGTATACAAGAAATCTCTGCCATTTCCGTATTTCCGTATTTCTGTATTTCTGTATTAGGGACAACAGCACACTACATAAAAGTGCTTTTCGGTAATCATTCCGAGTTTGTTGAGTGCACTCTTTATCATTTTTCACTTTTCTTTAGTCGGGCTCGGGGTTGGTCGGGCGATTAATCGGGCTGATTTTCTGGCATTTTAAGATAATTGGCATCGTCTACAGACACATCTTCAGGCAGCGCTTGTCTGTGTGGCTGCTGTTGAATGATGTTAGTGCTCCCCTTTGTGAGTTTTCAGAAGGTGGTGAAAATAGACAAAAACCTTTTAAAGGCCCCTGCTGTAAACGTTGAATTTAGCCTCAGTCAACATCGACTTGACGTCACGTTAAATACCATTCATGTTCTGAAATCTACAGCATAACCCACTGTATTTTTCTCTTTCATTAATTAATTAAACAACAAATGTTCAACAACATGTTCCTGGCTAAGATAACCATGTATATTAGAATGCAATGAGCATGGAATAATGGAATTATACATTACTTCTTTTTAGTTTAGATACCGGCATTATATAGCTGCCATCGGCCAGCCTGCTCTATAACTATGGGCCAATGAAAAACCCTTATCAGTCAACTGCTTATTTTCTAGTATGAACACAACAACACACTCACAATGTGCTGTACTGACTAAAATCAGTAGAGTAGTGGCTGAGAGTAGAGTATGTGTGGCTATATGACAGAGGAAAGTTACCTGGGGGACCACATCCTGCAGAAAGGTCACCACACTCTCCATGTAGGACTGCTCCCTGTGACAGCAAAAAGCTCGTGTCATCTCTAATGATAATGCATTATAGGACAATGCTCAAAAGGCCATCACTGTGTCATTTTTTCCACTGTTTTAGTTGGCTATGATATCACAGACATATACTATAGACCTTTAGTAAACAGATACATACGTACAGTATTATAATTTAGGGATTTCTGATAAAATAACATATCTGCCCTTACGTAGCAGCTTGTGCTCGCACCAGAACCCCTCCAGCACAGCGACTCGGTCTGCGTGGAGAGTCCGATGCCATTTTGTCTTTTCTTTATTTTATCCTGAAAAGGTAGAAAAAGACATTTTAACACGACAGAAGCATACAAAAAAGCTCTAAATTGAATTGCATTCATACTAACTTGTACTTGCACAGAAGAACAACTTGCACTGCAGCACACAAGCTTTGGTATGAAATCCAATCTTCTCTGAGCAGTTACCATGTGGATGACTTTTTTTTTTTTTTTTACATTTATGATTCAGCCACACTATGGATGTGCCATGTTAACCATGTTTTACGTTTTTTGTTTTGTTTAAAAAATGCTAAAACTAATGTGAAAAATACCCATCAAAATTTCAGAGCCCAAAGTGACAGTTAGATTTCCTGTTTTAAATTAATAAAACCAAAAGATTTTACATTTGCAGGATCGATGTCGGGCATTTTTGCTTGATAAATGACATAAAACAATTGATAAATTATCAAAACTACTCCATTAATTCAATAATTGTTTTAGTACATTACTGGATTTATGGTAAATGGACTGCACTTATGTAGCGCCTTTCTACCTTAAGAGACAAATTGGCCTCTCAATCTCTCACACACACACACACACACACACACTAATTGATTAATTGACTAATCGCTCAAGAAAAAAAAACTGTCAACAAAAACTGAATATCAGAATTCATGAATATAGGATTTACAGTTGTATAAGAGAGTTTTTGTTTTAGATAGGTGTACCAAGTTACCTGTCACCTGTCAGTACTACACTATATTACTCAACTGTTCATGAAAACAGTCAGCAACCACAACAAGTCACACCAAACTAGACTCATAATGTTATTCTTACTCATTTGCAGTAGGAGTACTTAGGTGGAATATTTCAACATACAAACAGATTCTCACAACTGAATCACTACTACTCTTCATGGTGCATTTAGGTAAAGGGAGATTGTGGGAAACAGCAGTTCTACTGATGCAGCACCAAACATTTGTGAAGAGGAAGCTAAGGCTGAGGGACAAACCATCAATTTACTTTTCAATCTACTTCCCTGCCATTGTGAGCTTAGAGTAGCAAAAAAGACTACAACTGAGGAGAGAAAGGGAATGAAATGAGCTCCTAACAGTGAGATCACCCAGGAGAGCTCAAAGTAAAATGGTTGCTCCTTAGCCTTAAAAGGAGATAACTGAGGTGTTGTAACATTTGATTCTCCCAGTCAATACTCTGTGTCAGTAAAGCCAGGCCCAACGGTCAGGAGGAGACCTTTCATCTGATCCTGAGCATGCGGATGGATTTCATGCACAGTGCTGTTTTAATTCACAGCTGGCCTGAGAGCACCTCAGGGTCCCCCTGGAGGAGCTGGAGGATGCGACTGCCATTATGTACTCCACACGGATGTCGATGATGGATGGATGCAGACTACGGGAATGTCAACCAAATCAAAACTTTACAAGCCCAGTGCGTAGAATTTTGTGGCATCTAGAGGTGGCGTTGCAACTTTCTGAATACAGCTGGCCTACCAAGCATGCAGGAGAAACTACAGTGGCCACAAAACTCGGACAGAAAACATGAAAATTCCCTTCTCTAGGAGGTCCAGTGTTTGGTTTGTTCTTTCTGCGGGCTACTGTAGAAATCATGGGTGGTCAACATGCCCTCGTAGAAGAGGACCTGTTCCCTCTGTAGATAAAAACGGCTAATTTTAAGGTAATGAAAACACAACGATTCTTATGTTCATACCAATGAATATTATATTTTTGACAATAAATCCTCATACATGTTGGATACATTAAAGCTGCAGTAGGTATCTTCTATAAAATAACTTCATAGTCATATGAAGTTATTTTGTCCTATTTGCTTGCTTGCAGTAGTAGGCTACATGAGACAGATACATATAAACTGTGTGATTTGGATGCATTTTTAGCTGATCATTTCCTGTGTAGGAAACATTTAATGGAATTCTCTGTCTGTATGATGGATTTTTTAAATATTTTTTAACAATCATACACATATACATAAGAGTGGACCTGCTAAAATCAACCTGCTAACTAATGAAAGAATGTGTTCATGCACTTAAGCCAATTACCATGTGTTTCAGTGTTTTGCAACGTATAGGTAGTCCACTGTATGTACACGGACACTGAGGACGTTACTTTTACACTTGCCAAACGTTATGCAACGATGTCCACAACACAAGAGACAAGCTACATGCAGTTAACAGTGTTTCTATGGGCTGAGAGATGAGCTTCTCTTGGCTACCTTACCCTCGCTTACATAGGCTAAACATTTATTCAGCTAGCTTGCACAACTAGCAAACAGCGGACCAACATGGTAAACAACTGTGACAACTGCCAAGTGACCACAATACAGCTATTGGCTAACGCTTAAGTTATATTGCTAGATAAGGACCCCACAGCTAACTTAGCTAGCTACCATTAGCTGATAAAACTCCCCTGCAGTGATAAAACGACTACACTGAATCCTTGAAGCGGGACATGCATTTGTCATAGACATTGTTTTGAAGCAGACATAGTTACGAACCGGTGCGGAGAACGTTGACTGTGGCTTTGCTTTATAGACTTGTGTGTGGTGGTCTGAGGAGAGCTTCACAAAAAACGTCAAAACACAAACAGACTAGATTTGCGGAACTGTGTTGTGTAACTGGGAGCCAATCAGAGCACAGAAACGTTTTCGTTAACCCAATCAGCCAACAGTGAGGGCGGGACTAAAGTCATGTACTAGCAGCAATTTGACAAAATAAAAGGTCCTGTGTTCAAACCGTTATTATCGCAGAGACAGGATTGTAATAAATAATAGAGGGGTGATAATATATTACCTTGGTGGTAATATATTATTGGTCTCGCTAGTTTGTATTCATGTGGCATAATTCTCAGTCTTGTGTTACTACAAAAGAACACTTTGAAATGAGTAATAAACATTATTTAGCAGCACATTTTAACAAAAGCATTTAGTTTCCGGTTGGTGTGTTTGCCCTAAAAGACTTGACAATATGGAGCACCTTCTTCTCATTCATGTTCAGTCACATCAATGTTTTGGCTGAATCTGCGCAAACTACTTGACTTTTATACAAATAATATTTGTATCAATATCATTTGACTATAAACTTTTACTTATCTGGACACTCTCTCAAAGGAAATATTTAATATTAATCACATATTTCATATATTTGTCACACTGTGGGAATATATTTATTTACTTTATTATGAAGAAACAAACCTTCACTGTTGTGATGACATCTCCGCTTAGGTTTAAGCTGGGCGGAGCCATGCTGGAGTAACATGAGGTCAGGAGCCAATCAGAACTGATGAAGGTGTAACTTCTCCCACCCAAACAGGTGCAAGGTGCAATAGTCTTTACACACAGGCACACACGGTCCCTACATGATTATAATTAGGTAGAACAATCGAAAACACCTGTGTGGGTGGCCTGTGGGCGTTTGATTCATGGCTCTAGGGATACTTTCTGAATATTATTTCATACACAGCCAGTACAAAAGTTTTTATGCCATGTCTCAATCTCTGTTTGCAGTATGGGTCTTACAAATTGTTACAATTATATATCATATCCACATCCACTTCGTAAATTGTTTCACTCTGCTGGGAGCACAAGTGGCTTCGTATCGAGACTCTACTGGTTCTTATTACAGCACTCTTGCAGACCTCTGGCGCTTGACACGGTGTGGAGGAGAGATGTTCCAGATCTGGAACCTACATTTNNTGGATCAGTGTGGGCTTAGCATCCAGAAACCCTGATCATCAGCAAATACATTATAATTATATACATAGGGTATATTTAACTCCTGGGAAGCTTCATTTGATGAAGGTTATTAATGATCCTATGTGCACTTTCTGTTCTTCCAAAGTGATTGGCAGTTATTTTCATTGTTTTGGGAGTGTACCCCAATGGCCGAATTTTGGAAGATGGTTGCCTTTAACCTCTTTAAATTGTTTAAGATTAGATTGCCCTGTTGGCCTGCTACACCCATTTTGAATGATTTGTCAAGGCTGGGTTTGACACTGGACAAGAGAAGAGCATTGTTGGCTGGACTTAGGGCTGCAAAAAAACTAGTGCAGTGCCCATAGGAAGTATGTATTGCTATAGAAAAGTTAAAGCCCCTTTTCATGATGGCCAATATGTTGTGTTTGGAAGTGGGACGTTCAGGGACATTTAGGACATATTTATTTAGTCCTGTAAGTATAGGCCGCAATAAACTATCAGAGAGAAAGAGAGAGATTGCGGGGGGGAATCCAGCGCCAATTTCTCCGGCACCCCTTCCCTTCCTGTGGAAAGACCTCAGATGCGGGCGAGGGGTCGGAAATGTCGCCTCCGGCCCTGATCCCCTGCCTCTGGAGGTAGGATGGCAGGGGCGATTATTTTTACGCTACCAGTGTGAAGCGATAAGCGATGGGGCGGAGCGAGGCGTGTCGGTCAAGCACAGTCTGATACACTGCACAGGTCTCTCACTCAACTAATAAAGAGACAATGTCACAAAGGCAACGTTCACAGGACCAAACAACAGCTCAACGTAGTACTGTACTGTCTTTGGAATATATGACGAAAAAACACTACAAGCTCGTACCAGTGGGACAGCGTCTCGTTCTGCTCGTTCTCGCCTGTCTACCGACTCTTCCGTTACATTTCTGCCGACACAAACAGCGCTTCACCGCGGAAACACCCCGTGGAGGTTAAAAATTCTCTGTCTTGCGAATTGAGGGACAGCAGTATGCTGGCTGATTATTATGTATCAATCTTTAGTGAAAACTTTAATCGTATTTCACGGCATGTTTGGTGGTCAGGATCTCAAATCATATACATTACATCATCATGATTATAAACGTGTGCCCGCAGCGTTTAGATTGACCCAGGGGAGACAACTGGGAAACACCTTTCAACTCCGGCTCTGCATGATTGGCCTGTGCGCACGTGGCATATGGTGGCTATGGTTGCAATGCTAGCGGACATTCGGAAATCGATTTATGAAATAATTTTATTAATGGTATGTTTGTAGTCGCAAAACAAGCCCGACCGTTGCACCACCCTTAAACCACACAGCAGCCAAATGTTGAAAACTCTCCAGGTCAGTCCCCGAAGCTGATCTGGCAGAGATATTTTTTTTTGAGCCACACACACCACCCGAGCCAGAGATTTCTTGCTTTTACTAGAGTACGATAGGATATGATAGATACGATAATAGATAGGATAGATAGATAGATAGATTAACCACTCCCTATCTTATATTTAATTTAAACTTCTTTTGTTTGTTGCATGCCTTGCTTAATTTTCGTGTGTCTTTTGTATTATTATTGATAGAAATGCAATTTTTTCTCAGAAATTCTTGAAAAAACTTGTTTTTATGGTGTTATCGTTAATAAATGTAGGTGGTGCTTAGGTTAAGTTACACTTTTATTATTATTGTATGTATTTTATGAATATTTCATATTATATTCAAAACTGTACAATGAACCCAAATAGTGAACTCAGTAACCACAAGAAGCTTTGCATAATACATGTGATTTAATAAGTTTTGAGCTGATTATTTCCTGTTTAGGACACTTTTAATGGAATTATGGTCTTTATTATGTATTTTTAAAACAATTTTAACATTGTAACAATCATGCATACTTAATAGGCTTCTTTCCTGCCATATTCAGTGTTTTCTTGTCCCTGATTCTTGGCCGTTGTTCTATTAGACAATTTACTTAACAATTGATTTTACTTTACATTTACTTTTCTTCATAGAAGTAAACCAAATGCTGAGATATAGGCCTACTGTGAATAAATTAATTTAGTTTTCTTGCCTGCCAAATCAAGAAGGCCTCGCGACCCCCCATAAGGCTTTGGCCCCCCCTGGTTGGGAACAACTGGCCTTTTTTTTTTTTTTTACACAGAAATAAACAGAAATCCCTTTCTTTTTCTGAACCCCAAAACATAAATTTGTATGTTATATACATATATATCCTTAGTTCATCATCCAATATGCAAAATTATATTTTTATTTTTATGACTTATTATGCATTTTGTACTTGAAACAATTTGTGTGTATATATTTAAGGGAACTACAACCTGAATTTCATTATTTAATCATGTGTAAATGACCATGAAGTAACTTTGATTATTGAATATGCTTCATAGAATGGATTGTAACTGTGAGTGAAATAAAACTTAAATGTTCTCATAAGTAAATCTTCATGATCATAATAAGCTCCTCTCTCTAAAAACAATTGGCAAAAGCAAAAACCTTTGAGATCAAGAAAAGGGATTAAATATGATACACATAATAATGTAATTGTACATTCATTTTGGTTATTAAATACATGTTTGTTGTGTCCATTGCTGGTTTGAGACTATTTTATAATATGCAGACTCTATTGTCAGGCAAGTAGCTACTAGTACATGCATGTGCTGATGTTCATAATTTTTAACACGCTATTGTGTCTATCCTTAATATTGGTACTAATAAATTATGTTTGATAAGCTAAACTGTGTGCACTTTCTTGCTGTCCATACATCACAATGAATAAACTAAAATGAATGAGCCAATTATATAATTAAGATAATTAAATATATAGTAGAATAACATATAAAACAAATAATATATGGTATTTATATCCATATATACAGTAAGTATAGACCCAGTAAATAATTCTGCAGTGCATTTTTGGAATTTACGTCAGTTGGAATTTAAATAGCAGCAGGATACAAGATAACAAGATAGTGATGATATTACATAGTATATAAGTATATTTACCACAATTCTCCTCTTCCTAAAAAACAATTGAATGGTTCATAAGTTCAGATGAGAACACGAAGTGTATCAATGGCTGCCTCCAGGCCAAAGCGACCCAAATCCGATTTTTTTGATCAAATATGAATCAGATCAGTTTTTTTTGTCATGACAGTGTGAACAGATCAGGACAGGCTATGAGGTCAAAATCAAATTTTTTTGCAGTGCAGCCTCAGTCATATCAGAATTAATGTGACATTTATGTTACTCTATAGTATTTACAATTTGTGCATGTCCAACTTTTTTCGCTCTTTCTAAAAAACAAATAAGGAGAAAGGAGAGAAGGAGATTCACTTAAGAAAACAAAGTGAACTAAAGTTTTCACCACCAGAAAGTATGTTTACCTTTAAATTGAGAACTCTGAAACATACTTATGCCTCCAACCCTCTCCTCGTCTCTCTCTAAACTGTAAACAGTTATTATAGTGGTTAAAAACTTATCAGGTAAACAAAATAATCATGTATCATTAAATTAATTTGAATCACGAAATTAAGTGTTC